CTAAAGAGACGGGGACTTTTCAGGCTCAATCCGTGCCAGGTGCAGGGTCTGCTGGCTGGGTGCTGGCAGGCTTGCACCTGGTACGGGCACCGTAGCCAGCCCGTGCCCCTTTAAGAGGTCCAGGGCTGGGAGGGGGGCATAGAGTTTCCCTGGTGCTGGCCAGAGTGGCCACCAGGGAAACCTGGGGAGGGCTAGCCTCCCACTAGTTCGAATTAAGGGTCTGCACAGCCCTTAATTTGAACTAGTAAATTCGAACTAGGCTTAATCCTCGTGGAATGAGGATTATCTAGTTCGAACTAAGCGCTCCCTTAGTTCGAATTAAATTCGAACTAACGGAGCGCTAATGTAGCGCCTATGAAAGTTAGTTTGAACTAACTTTGTAGTGTAGACATACCCAGAGAGAATGGGAGTTAAGTTCAGAATACCCAGATTGTCATTACTAAGAAAACCCTTACTAATACCCAGGCCTGATCTTAAGCCACTGGCTCACATACCACTTACCTGAATGATTTGAGACACAGAAGAGATATTGAAGCTTATCAACACGTCACAGTCCACTTCCTTGTATGGCTACTTCTCAAAAAACAGAAGCCAGAACAGAGTTTGCAGGCAGAGCTGCTAACTTTCAGAAAGAAAACGGTTGTATCCGCTTTGTGGTAAGACGCACCTGAAGCTAAGAGAGCTGCTTTAGAAGCAAGAACAAAATGGTCTGTGGTACTTAACAGCTGTGCTTTCAACCCTGGAAAATAAATCAGCATTTCAACACAAACCCCAGCATAATTATATACAATAGCCTGTGAGGGCTGCTAGAGTGTTATTGGCTTGCTGTGGGGAACCTGCCTGGGTTGAAATTTCTTGAAGACTGTTGGGAGGGTTATTTATGGTAAGGGGATAAAAAGGTTGATAAGCAAGTTACACGACTTGGAGATTTACAGTACCGTTTTGTTCTGACATCAGAGAAACATCACTCACTCCCTATCATGGACTTACAGCACTGCCAACTACTTTCTGAGGAAATTTCCAAGGACAATACGCGGCTGCTTCCAAATCAGAACAGATGTATGACTATTCTAAAAGGGAAATATTTCACTAGTAAATCACCATAGTGTCTGGTATTGTTTCACTTGACACGATGACCATTTTGTTTATAGAGCAGTATGCACAGTTCTGTACAAAGGAGGCCTGGCCCCTACCATAAAGAGTTACGCTGAGACTCCTATCCTTCCACTGACTCCAGGCAGCTGCAAGGCTCTGCCCACGCAGAATTAGTTCCAGGACTAGGCCCTAAAGCAGACAGACCCTATAGAACAGCTGATTGGTTATGATCACAAAGCAGTGTAGGCATCTTGGACGGACCACCGAAAGCGTTCTCTGAGGATAATTTGAGTGAAAGTGCAGTTCTGTTAAAAGAGAAGGGGTGATGCAAAAAGGCTATACAAAGAGGGAGCCGGAGATCTAAGGAGTGCTGTAAAAGGAAGTAGATACAAAGATAAAGGTAAGGTAAAATTGTGCTGTGCCTTAAGAGGGGAGGATGAAAAGCTTCAACTGGATATGGAGACCAGAGAGGGTTGGCGTGACAGGGCAGATCAGCGAAAGGAAGCAACTAGCATTGCTCTGAGTAGACTAGAATTGGCAGGGAAGCATGGGATACAGAGTCAAAGGAAATCAAAGCTATTTTCAGTTAGAATGCCTAGAGGGAACCCACTCATATATACTGAAGGGTAAAGGCAAGACTATCTTTTCCTCTATATGAAAATGTAATAAAGAGTTTACATAGGCAATGTTCTCTCTCCAGAACCCATCTGAACTATATTTACGCAACAAAATTGATGACACACCGTGTACAGTAAAGGGTCGAGATGTGTCAGTTACACCTATCTCTTACGAGTGGGCTTGGTACCTATGAAAGTGAGAGGTTAGCCAGATGAGTGCAGATAAGTACTATGCAGGCTTCTCCTGAACTGGGATTTCACCGCTCCCTCCATACAGTTCTGCCAGTACAGATCAGTTGTGACCTGAAGTTACGCTAGTTTAGTCTAGAAATGCTGCAGCAGTTGCATACGAGAGCGGGTCAAATTGTCTGCTAGTTTGGAGAAAACAAACATTTTCACTTGTGATCAAAGACTAGGTTTGAAGCCAGCCTCCCAGTGAAAAACTAGTCCATTCAACTATGATTAGGCTGTATTTTTATTGAGTATGTCTAGTAAAAACATGAGACTGAACCTACGTTTAACAGGTCATCAGAACCCGGAAACAGTACAACATATTAATGAATATACATATAGCGGCACACACACACACCGGGGGTTCCAGAAAGAGAGAGCTTTTGACATTTCATTGCACTTAAATTCTCTCATTGCTATGCTGAGCGCATCCAACATTAAATGTCACACTTTTTAATTAGAATGTAAAAGCTTGTAAAAACCTATAGTATTTATATGCTTTTAAATTTATAATTGTTTGACCTGAAACAGCACAATGTGTTGCTATGTAAATTATCAGATAAATTGCTTCATGCACAGAGCTCCAAACCAAAATATCTTGAAGCCAGCTGGTCAGATACTGGGTTTGGAAGGCTTTGGATAGGCCCTATACAACTAAATGCATTTATCAGGTGAATACGTAAGTGGAAGTTCTGTAGCAAGGGAAAGTAATTATGATAATGAGGTAAACATGTTGCAAAGACGTAATCCTGTGTACTGCATAGGAAACAACAGCTTTAGACAATTGGTTCTTGAATGCTAGAGGAAGTACTGTATCCTGGCCTCAGGATGACACAAGTAGTGAGACCAAGCAAAAACCTGACTCAACAGCCGAGTGGCTGAATGGGTGGATATGAAATAACTCTTCTATACCGGGGTTTTTATTTTAAAGCCACTGGCTTAAGTGTGGGGGCCTATTCAGCATTTTTATGGGGCAGGAGGAGGAAAGAAAGATTATCAGGAAGGGCACCCTTTAGAGATCCAAAGGAAAGGACTTAGACATAATACAGCTTATAGTGGGAAGAGACCTGTGGTACAGCATGGTCTATGCTTCGCTAGCTCCATCTGCAGGTATCTTCTCCTTAATTATGATTTTTGAAAGAACTGGTAAGGGGACACTAAAGTGAGTGGACTTTGGTTACCAGGGAAAATACTTGCAACTAAGTGGTGGTTCAAATAGGGGAGTATGAAAGGCACCTGCCCAAATACATAGTGCTGAAAAGACAGAAAAGCCTGAACTATTATGGCCATCCTAAAAACATAACTGATGAAAGAGGGCGGTGAAGATACATGGTTTGGATAAAACTCTTATTGTTAAAAGAAAAATGTCCTTATCTATATTACAAAAACCACTGTAGCAGTTTATAGAGCTACTTTTCATAGGAATTGTTAGACTGGCTCAGATTTATAATCAATGTAATCATCTTGTCTCTGGACAGTGGCCAGCACCAAGGCTTTCAAGGAAGATTCAAGAAACTGCCTATTGCCTAATTTGGAATTAATTTAAGAAGCTAAGTATATCCCTTTCAATGCTTTCTTCAGCCCTAGTTTTTATAATTCTGGATATTCTTGTTATATATAGAGAGGTCCAATCCCTCTTTGGTTCTCACTGAGCTCTTGGCTCCAAAAACATTCTGTGGCATGGAGTTACACTGTCTAATTATGCACAGAGAATTATTATCTGCTATCTATTTTGAATACATCATTTTTCAAATTCCTCAAAATATGCTGATGTTCTTGTCTATGACAGAGGGAGAATAGATCTCCCTTTGTTTAAAGAGCATTCATGTCCCCTCAAATTTGTCTCTTTTGAAAGGTAGGCAATCCAAATGTTTTCAACTTGTCTTCATATAAGAGTTTTTCCATGCCCCTAATCATTGTATTTTTCTCAGTGTTTCCAGTCAATTTCATTCTCTGGTTTCTTACACTGTTTAGTGCTGAAGTGTTTCAGTTCTAAAGGTTGCAAAGGCTTTTTTTTTTTGTTAAAATAGATTTACTTCAAAATAAAATGTTTTTAATAAAACCTGAACTATGAGTCACGTTTGCTCTGACAATTAATTACCATTTGAAGGCAAAAAACACTAGAGTTCTCATTTTATTTTATAAAACCAGCTTGGTCTCAATTCATCAAGCTTGTAAACATAAAGCCTTTACGTTCTCTCAGCAAATACAACAACTAGGCCAACTGCAGAAGGAAGAGGTGGACTAAATTGTGGGAAAGGCTCAGGAAACCTTAGAAATATTTTAAAAACAAAGAACAGATGCAATACTTGAGATAACTGCCAAATTGGTGCTGATGCCAGTCAGTCTGGAACAGCATCTGAGAAGCCAGTTCTTTCATCCCTCACCCAACTCTGCAGAAAGTTGTTCAAAGTAGCACAGTCCCTTAGACCTCAGAGCCACTGCCTGGGACCTGTGAAGCTCAATAGCCATATTTTTCATTCAGATGTGTCTTGCCATCACCGCTTTGACCTGATTGATAAGAGAGACAAAAATATATTTGCTCTTCCAAGATCAACTCAGAGCTAAGAACACAACTGTCTACACAGAACATGTTTGATAGTAAAAGTATACCAACCCATCCAATACTAGTCTCCGTTCGATATGTAATTCCTGACATCTGGCAATTGTGTTACTTTACAAGACTACTAATATCTTTCCTGTTTATTTGTGTCCCCCAGCATCCCCTTTCTGTCAGCTCAGACAGGAGACAAATCCTCCCATTAGCAGATGGAGACAGGAAAAGAGAGCTCTCTCAAAAAGGAAGCTGGCCAAGCACACCCAGTTCAGACTCTTCTGGTCAGCTGAGCCAGAAATTTTGCTCAGGTTGATTAATTTTTACTAGTACTAGTGGAGAGCAGTCCTTTTGTTTGTCTAGCTCTAGGTTAGAGCACTCCTCAGTGAAGTTCCTTCCCCATCTCCTTCCTCCCTGTGAGGCTCACCGTTTTAAACCCCTAATTATTAGTAATTTTGAGTTAGACTATCATGAAACCATATGGAATCTAATCTAGGCACTTAATATGAAAGGCTATATGAATAATCCAGGCTCTCAGTAAGAAAGTATAATTGAAAACTCACTGCAGCATTAAAAATAACCACAGAAGGTTAAATAAAAATGATTTGAAGGTTAATTAGAAAACAGATAATCTTTACCTCTCACTCTCCACACAAATTGGATTTGTGCCCCTATTAAAGTAATTCCATATCTTGGCTGCAATAAGTTAGCAGGGTTTGTCGCTCCAAAACATGTGCTATGAGTTGTATAAAGCTTTGTGTTTCAAAGTTTTGCCCAAAGAATACAAAGAAGTACAAGAGAGCCTATCTAAAAGTTGCTGAATGTCCCAATGAGTTAAGCAAAAGTTGAGGATGCCCAAAACCTCATAGGCTTTGATCTCCTTTTCAAATAATAAAACCACCATCATCACAATGCAAAAGGAGGCCCCAAAAAGAAAGTCTGCATTGATGCTCATAGTCTCTTGCTAAGAGACTCCTGCCATAACCAGCTCTCTTAGATACATTACAAAAATTAGTTTACCTTTCTATCTTTTTGTTAGCTGGGTATAATGAAGATGAGGTAGAACAGCAGGAACTAACAGTAGCATATATGACAGTGTGAAAAGTACATGGTTGTGTTACAGACCATCCTAAAGAGCAGGTATGTGTAAAATATCCATACCAATTACTTTTTTGTGGGGTCACACTTCAGAGTTCTCAGGAAGATTTTGCAAATGGATTCCTGACTTATAGGAGTAAGAAATTAGAGGAAATTGTTTGGTACCTGCAGGAGGCATCCACACGCAGTAGTCTGGGTCATCTTCTGGGTACCGAGAAGAGGAAAATGCTTCCTGGAGCTGCAAAAAATAAAAATTGAGCAGATATTTTCAGCATTCCTACCATGAAGTTCCAAAGAGTCAGTTTTAAGCACAAAGATGTGTGTAGAATTTTAAAAAAAGCTACAGAGAGATGGGAGCAGTTTCCCTATTGTGAAAAGTCAATGAGGAGACACAACAGGAGTGCAGTGACAGATTAACAAAGAAGGTCTTAGAGCACAAATTGAAGGACACCATTCCTGTGATGGGGTGCGGTCACAGAAGACCCCTTGGGGGTGCTTCCAGGAGTGCTGACAAGGCCACTGACACTTGTCTGCTTGCTCTCTGGGGCATGTTACCACCCAGTCCTGCTGGGTCGGATCTCCTGGTCTCCCCCAGCCAAGGCACAGAGCTGAGATCACCTCCTCCCCTCACAGGAGCAATATTGACACAAACTGTTCAGGCCAGAGGAAAATGAAGTTTTGGGCCCAGCTTCCAGGAAAACCACTCCTCCAATGGAATGAGAATCCCAAAAAAATTATTTAGGTAAACTTCCTTTAAGAATGAAAGGAGGATGTACACACGGATTGCTCCCCCAGGTAATAATCATTTATACTGGGTTTGATAGTAAATAAAAATAATTTTATGAAGTATGAGCAGTAGGATTTAAGTGGTTGCAAGTGAAAACAGAGAGAGCAAAGTAGCTTACAACTTTAAAATAACAAAAAATGCATTGCTAATACACTCAAGCTTATTACAAACTCACCCTAACATTGTTCTTATTTCAGCTAATAGGCCTCTAAACCAGGGAAAATATTTTTCCCTGGGTCATTCTCTTGGGAGTATCATTCCAAGAAAAGATAAAGAATTGAAAAACGTTGCATCTTAAATAGCTTCCCTTTCAGGTGGGAATTCTGTTTTATATTCTCCCCTTCTATGGAAAATTACCTGGTCACCTCCTACCAGCTAGGGAGGTCACTTGACTTCCTAAGACCAACCACTGCTAAGGCTTAAAGGACAAAAGGGGCTGTTTACAAGTGATCACCCAGACATTGATGGCAACACCCTTGATGGCTTTCATTTGCGCAAGTAAAACTATAACGTATTCCATACTCCACCTTTCTAACATTACATACAAGAATGATTCATGCACCAAAATAAGATATACAGATCCAGCAGACTGAGACATTAAGAGTGATAGGTTAGAGAAGGTGTTCTGGTCAAAGCATCTTCAAGTTATGCATATTTGTGTCCATAAGTCAATTTCACAAAACATGGGGGGTGTCACAACTCCTTCCTTTGATACAGCGATGACATCCCCAATGAAGTCACTAGAAGCTGAGTGAACTAATAAGGACAGAACTATTCATTGCACTTAACACTGCAGATAATACAAAACAAAACAAAACGTGTCAAATTAAGGCTATAGTAAAAATGTTATTTTTTGTATCTGCTCACTCTTGAGGGTGTACATTTGTAAGCTTAATGTTACACATGTGTCAATTTTACAATGAATTTCCGTGTTTAAGGGGGAAAAAAAAGATTAAGGTGAGATTTTCAAGCGTGCCTAATGGATGCAGGAACACAATTCACACTGAAAAAAAACCATATATTAAAGCCAGCACTTCAAACTTGAATGCCTGAAGTTAGGCTGTTAAATAAGAGTGAGCTGGTTTTCAAATGTGATACAGATTTTCAGCTCCCATTAACATCAGTGTAGTTTGAGACTGCTAAGTGTTCCTCAAAAAACAGGCTATTTTCGTCTAGAACTAAAAATGAAGATACCCAGTTAAGATTAGGCACTCAGATTTGAAAAATTTGAGCCAAAGCTCTAATCTCTCAACTGCTTTCATCTTTTACTTCCACAATTACAGAGTCAAAATCTAACAGCTCTTTAATGAAATACTGAGAAGAGTTCAAAATTAAAAAAACAACAACCCTACACTTAAGTCTTTAAATCATGATTTGAAGACTTTAGTAACTCAGCAAGAAGTTATGGGACTATTATAGAAGTGATTGGGTGAAAGTCTATGGCCTTCAATGTGCAGGAAGTCAAACTGGAGTTGATCAGGATGGTCCCTTCTGGCCTTGAAGTATATAGGTTCATTTGCTAACCAGTACATGGTCAAAGCAGTTTTTCAGTTCCTTGGATCAGCTGAATTCTCTAAAATTAACCTGGATTAAAGACTTCTGGGAGATCTAGCCTCCTGCAAAGTGTCAGATAACCTAACTAACATGCCTTCAGGAAAAGGTTTTTTTAAACCTAGCCAGTAAGTGGTTGTTTTTATGTTCAAAAACATGGAGAGTTTCTGTCCTTTACATACAGATTTTTATCCTAGAAACAACTCTACTCTCCTTGTGAATGTGCTGAAAACTACTTACGCTTTTCCTCCCGGTTACAATAAATTCCACAAGAATAACAATGGCTCCTTTCTACAACTCCCAAAAGGAAGAAAGTATATTAAAGGCAAGCTACATGGACTACAAAGGTGGTTCCCCAGGTTTTTGTCTAACTGTAGCAGTTTTCCAAACTTAAAGACCTCTGCTGCATACGCCAGTGTGTGCAATGTCTCAGGCTAATCCACAAGGAAGCTCTGTAGTTACAGAGCTAGGACTTGGAGCATGCTAACCTCTATGACAAGTTAGAACACTTGCAAGTGAATGAAAGATCACATCACTATGACCCAGCACAAAGTGTTATCAATACAGTTGGAAAGGAAGCTTTGATGAACGGACTGAAAGGTTGTCTAGTTTCAATGTAGCTTCTACAAATCTCTACCATTCCTGAAATGCTAGCTCATAGCTTCTTAGCAGGCATGGTGACTTGCAATAGCTCTCTCTGATTCATGCAACAGCAATGCACTAGAGGCACATCACTGTCACAAAGCTGTTTTCCAACTAAGTCACCAGTCAATATCACTAATAGGGATTTTTTTAAAATTAGACTGTAGACTCTTTGGAACAGGGACTGTCTTCCTATGCATGAAAGCGCTTCAGGTATCATTACTTACCCTGCTGGGGCCATTTACTTTTGTCTTTTTCTTGGGGTTCTCTTCAAAAGTCTTGCACACTCTGTCAGGTGCTGGGAAGAAATAAGAGCTGTTTTATAGCACACTGTATTGCTCTTACACCATGAATCAGCATCTCTGTCAGAAAAAAAGTTTACAAAAGGCCCACCTAAAAACAGGAATCAAAGGAATGATGCATTAAATGTGTATCAAAATTCAGTTCTTTTATTAATTGACTAACATTTCACTGTTATTAATTTATAGAGATTAAATTTTAAGTGAAAATTATAGTTTAATGTACTTGATCCTCCAGATACCCACACTTGTAAGTGGATAGGATTTCATAATTTAATAGGTCTCTTCAACCATAGTTACTATAATGATAAATTCTAGTAGTCAAGAAATCTTCCCTCTGCAGATTACAAGAGAATACAATATTGAAGTTGGAGTATGGAAGTGTCTTGGACTTTGGCCATCAAGTGTTTGTACATTAAGACGTGAAGAATGAAGGCAACTTTAGGAAATGCATAGACCCGACAAACAAAAATGCTATTTCAATGGGTACAGGAATATCAGTTAGTGGAAGAGAACAGTGAGGGAGCACATCGGATGAATACCCTTGATTCTCCTGTCATTTAACTCAAGTTATTAAATATCTCAGTCTAATGTGACATCGATTTTCAGCCTTATGAGACAATAAGAGGATGGTCTCCCTGAGGAACCTTAGGATGCAATGGACTGTCAGGTGGTAGAGGAGAAACAAGAACTCAGACAGCTCTCTCCTAAATGTTTTGCATGGCAAGTCAGACCTTGATCTTCAGGGTCAGACAGATTTTTGAAAAATGCACAGTGATTTTTGAGCTGTTCACAGGGTGCATGCTACTGCCTTTATAGAATTTGAGATGTGTTTTGGAACAAGTCTTCACACGCATTTCCCTTCTATAATATGACCAACTCGTAAGACAAACCAAGGAGAGGGAAAAAGAGTGCATCAGTTTTTACACTTGGTTCTTACTCGCAAGATCCTACTGTTATTCTACTGCATTAAAATGATTTTGGATAAATACAGTGTCTTTCACCTGAGGAAGAGAAAGTGCCTTATAGATGTGGAAGGGCAGGGAGAATTGAAACACAAAGGTAAAGTGATTTGCCCAAAAGTCACACATTTAGGCTGTGGCAGAACAGAAAACAGCCTTTACATCCTCCTGAATTACTAGTTTCCTGCTTTCAGACACTAAACAATGCTGTTCTCTTTTGCAAATTTGCATGGACAACAACTCCTTTAGATAAATTTTAAGTCCATAATTTACTGTAAAACTTCTGCATTGCTTACCTGGAGACTTCTCTTGTGATAGGTCCACTGGACATTCATTCTCTGCTGTCTTTAACTCCCTGCTGATGGGCTGAGACTGAAAACCAATTCCTGTGAAAAACAGCCAAAGTCAACATAATACTTCTATCAAGCATCCTAAGAAGTAGAGCAGTAATATGTCCAAAACACAGTACACTAGAGTAAACTTAGCTTCATTCATTTCAGCAATGACATTCAAATAAAAAGACAATGCTCTCTAAACACCCAAAAGAGATTAAATATAGAAAGACTATTTCAATACAACATTGGGAAGAGAGTTGAGTTAACCTATAAAGCCAGGTTAAAAACATATAGTTCTAATAACTTGGCCACACTGAACATGATACCATACATTAAGGCAAGGAGGCAGAATTGCAGACATGAGGGAACAAAATAACTGAACTGCAATGTCATGGCTGACTTTTCACGTGCACAGAGTCAGCAAATGCAAAATAATTTGAATTTGGATAGAAATTACAGAGAGAGAGTCAAGAGCCTGCCTTTATGATTTTTAAAATATTTTTCCTTCTCAGTTTCAATTTTAATTACATTCCCTTCCAACAATGCTGTGATACTAGTTTGTTACTGCAAGACACTCACATGCTGCACATGTTGGTTTATCAATATGGCCTATCATGAGCCCCAAAGGTTTTTTCCTTGTCTTAAAAAAAAAAAAAAAAAAAAAAAAACACCCCAAACTATAGAAAATTTTCTATTGCGCAGGGCTTTAATTCAAAGCTAGGGGAAACTCAATTGTTTTTTTGGATCCGCTTATGTCCCAAATGCTGAATTCCTGGGCACAAAACTGTGAAAAGAAACTCTGCAAAGTGTTACATGAACATCTCTGAAGCAAACCTTGAGCTTTGTGCAACTCTGAAAAATCCAGTAGTTTATATTCACATAAGCTAATGCAGGGAAAAGAGAAAAAAGAAGTCACTGTTTACCATGGGTGAGCTCCTTGCTGGGAGATCTGACAGGAAGACAAGTCTCTTGATCTACTTCTCCTTCTGCCATTTTCATCTCTGTTTTTTGTGTCCCGATATTTGGTGCTTTGATGTCCTGATCATCCTCTTCCTCCTCTTCTTCCTCCACTTCAGGCCCATCATCTTTCATTTTTAACAAGCTTTCAGGAATATCTGGACGCCTATGAGGCAACTTCTGTGGCATAAAAGCAAACTAATGTCACATTGCTTAGGTACTGGGTCTTATAAAAAACCCTAAAGATACATAGACAGGTTTATACAGAATGGTCACAGACAGGGGAGATAGGACAAAGCATGTATGTTAGAGTCATAGGAAGAACTAGGAAAGGTACCAGTGCAGATGAAAATGAAGAGGGAAAAGAGATAAAGTAATTGTCCTCAAAAGTGCAAGTGACAGTTTTTTGATGCAGTCATATTGGGAGTTAAACCAATAGTGCATTTGCACTTTGTTAAAAGAGCAAAAAGAATGGAAAAGCAAGTGAAGAGAAAGCTAATTACGTAAGGAAACGAAAGCAAAAAATACCTTAAAACTTACCCCAAGACTTCCAGTTTTCAGTTTGAATTTTCTCCCTCCTTTCATTGCACCAAAGAGAGGCAATGTTAGCTTTTTAGGCTTGCTCTCTGTTTCCAGACCATGACTCCCAGTCCTAACAAAATCAGATACAAAGAAAAGCGATTAGCACATGCAACATCTCCAGTAATTACCCAAACTTTAATCTCTTCTATTTAAGAACAGAAACATTGTCAGAACTAAGATGATGCTATGAAATAAGGACTCAAGCCCATGTGATCTTTCTACAGGAAGGTTACTGAGAAACAACACTGTGTGTGTTCATACACTAAGCAGGTATTGATCTTACTGTTTTAACTCCCCTGTTGCTATGTGTCTCTGCAGCATTCCTCTGACATAGTAATGATACAACTGGCACACTGACACACCAAAGTAACATATCAGGTGTAGGACAGGAGGTGGTGGTACCTTTTGTATATTTTGCTTCTTGTCCTGGCAAGTGGAACACTGCCAGAATGTACAACACAATTTCATCGGCACAATATACAATGATTATTGATGTAGACTCACTGGGGCTTCAGCTCGGGCAGTTCTGCAGGTTTAACAATCTTTATTAACCCTTTCAGTCTCTGCTGTTCTTTCCTCAGCTCAAAGGTCCGCAAATGTAGCTTCTTCCTCATTACGCTGTCTAAGGAGCATCCTGATTTTATTTCAGTCATGAACTCATCCAAGGAATCCTGAGAAGCCGGCTGGGACTGGGCTAGATAAGATGGTTTCAAAATTCATGTGGTAGAAAGGGGAGGAGGGGGGAGAGGAAAAGAAAGTGAGTCTCATACCCACCTCATTTAACCTTTAAAAATTGCAAAGTGTGAGATTGGCACCATATATAAGTACCCAGGACAGATAATTAGCCAAGATGCCCCACACTGTGAAAAACCTCACTATTCAGTTAAATAATGGGCCTAATTTGTCCTTGGAGAACAATTCAATGGAGTTTCCTCGAGGATTAATTTGATTTAAAACATATTATTAGTCTGTGTAAATCCATTTCTCAACATTAACTCAAGTAATCATCCCCTTGAAGTCTGTAAGTATTTTCTCCTGTCATAAAAATTACTTCATCTGTGACTCCTTTCAGACAATCTTACATACAGGCAGTCCCCGGGTTACGTACAAGATAGGGACTGTAGGTTTGTTCTTAAGTTGAATTTGTATGTAAGTCGGAACTGGTACATATTGTAGGGGAAACTCTAGCCAAACATTTCTCCAGAGCTCAGTTTTATTCTCCCACACCTCACTTCCCTCAGCCCTTTATTCTCAAGCTGAAGTGTCTGCTGAGAAAAGCCGCTCCACCTCTCCCTGGTCTGCTGGGCGGGGGGAGGGGGACGCGCTAGCTTCGCATCTCCCTAGTCTGCTGGGGGGAAGTAGCTAGTGCGGGGGTGCCTCACCCCGGTTGTTAGCACTATTTTTTAACTGGGGAGGCTGATTTATATTTGGACAACAAAAATACTTTTTTCCTCCTCAAGATGAGAGTCAATCTCTTTGCAGACATTGCTGATTCCTCACATACTTGTAGAAAAAAAGTTGGGGTTTCTTTGCATCTCAAATTTTGTTTCATTTAGTTTTAGAGCCTCAGGTTGTTCTAACCCTGACTAGCAAGGGTCAGAAAAGTTCTTTTCTTGGATTTTGACAGCACTACAGAATTTGCATACTCCGTTTCAGTTGTGTCAAAGACAGACAATAAAGAACACTAATTCCATGTTGTCAGATTTTGAGCCCTTTGTTTCCAGGTAAGAACTTCTCCCTTATTTTTATATTCTATGCCATGCTAAAATTCAGGCAAACTTAAATCTTTATAACTGATGAAGTATGTATATAGATATGTAAGCGTGTCTGTATGCAATTATTTGCAAGTTTTTAAAATCTTAGCCCTAAGTATTTTAACTTCCAACCCTAATTATCTAAGCATTAATTCTAAGCCAGAATTGACAAAGTAACTAAAGCTGATTTTTTGGGTCTTTGTTTAAACGTTTGTGATAAGAATATTTTTGAAAGTGATTGCATGAAACTATTAAGTATTCAAAAATATTTTTTCTAGTTATGTAACATTTATAAAAAGCCTGAGTTCATAAACTGGGTAATTCTGTTATAGAACAAAATATAATTTCAAATGTAACAAATACATGCTGCTACAGCTTTTGTGTAACAGTAAGTACTCAGAGATCACTTAGTAATAGGATGCTAGGAATTATTATTACTTGGTATGTTCTGTATCCTAATTTTTCTTAGGATTATGATATATCAGCATTAAAAAAATACATTGCAAGTCATCCAGCCAAAAGAGCTCATAGAAGTCTATTTTTCACATATATAATTCATATCTTTACATTGAGTGTGAACCAGTTGGGGCCTGCAAATCGGCAGATATCTGCTGGTATCTGCATCCGTGGCTATGGATATGAATAGCCATGGCTCAAAAAGGGCACAGTGGGCTGGCCCAGAAAGTGGATACATACAACCCTGCCCCAGCGTAGGATGGACTATTTGCCTCTGCCTAAACCACTGCCACCACATGAACCTAGAGGACAGGCAATGTGCCAGTTTCAGCAAGGAGTGGCAATTACAGAGAGTGGCCTTGTCCCAGGTAAATACAGCTTTGGACAAACCAGTCTGTCCTTTGGGGAGGAGATCCACATCAGGATCTATTACTTCAGCATGAAAAAAGGAAACTCTACCCTCACTGCTTCCTGAGGGACCAGATTTTCCAAGCTCAGGATATGGAGTACAGTTCACAATCTTGTACTTAAGCTATCATACCTGCAATATCACAGAAAACTGCTGGGGAGACTAAAATTAGACATTGCAAAAGGAGGATTAATCATGGATATTGTATTTTATGTTACAGGGGCAAAAGCTTTATGGCCATTTACTTCACTATCAGCTTGTCCATTAAGAAGAGCATTATTGTTAACAAAAATAAAATTGAAAATCTCTGTGCATTTGATTTTCATTCAGTTGCACCAAGACAGGAGAGAATTATCAAGCTTCCCCATCAATGGTTTAGTTCAAAATGAGTTTAGAAAGCAATCTGTAAACCTCTATTGATGTCTTTCTGACAACCACTTAATCTTGGCAAGTGCTAGGTAAGAGGTGCAGTAATTCAGCCTGTCACTCACTCATCCATCCTTCTAGACTGCTGCTCTGAGTGGCCAGGCATGTAATCACATAGAAAAAGCCAAAGCTTAACAAGGTTTCACAAACTTATGTGCTGTGGTGGTAGTACTGACTACCAATACAGTGATAAAAATCACCTACGATTAATGCATGTGCTTTCAGAAACTGTGGACCACCATCTATTATTAATTTAAGCTACCAATTTAAACTGCATAGAAAAAAAACAAGCAGCCAATACAAGAATTAAAATAGGTGAGCTAATATTAGTTATAGTCTATATTAGTCCAGTATCAGGAAACCATTGTTAAACTTGGGCACCAAAGTAACCCCAGTATTTTACTTCAGTCTGTCAGGTCTAGTAATAAATGCTGGCATGCTCAGTTTTCCATGATAAAAAAAGATTCATATTGGTGAGTCATGACACCCTGAAATTAACAATATGTCACTAATTAGTATCTTGTTCTTCCTCTTTCACTATCAACTGCATTATGATTTAGCAGGTATCTGAGAAACAAATGCTATACAACCTCTGAAAGCTTGGGATCCATCTCTCAATCAATATGAGGCATTAATTTTTACCCTCTAGTTAAGCATCTGCTATCTACTGCTGACATCATGTGAGAAAGATGGCCACAGACAGGCTCCACTGAGAGTCAGTACAAATACTTTTAAATTCAGAAAGATTTTCCAATCAATAGTTCTGAACACATGACCAGAAACAAAATTGTTGATCCAAACTAGCACTGGTATGGGGTTGGTTTACCAATATGAAATACCTGATCATATCTTGCAGACATAAAACTACAATAAGCTGAAATACATTAACACTTAGAAGACACTGCAATTCTCAGAGAAAATCTTGCTCACACAGGGAAGGAAGCCCCAACCTTTGTTTATGTAAACTATTCCTGATAGAAAATGTATTTAGGCTTTTGACTGTACATTTCCCCCAGATATCATCTGGACACACAACACACAGCTTACAAGTATATTTTGTTTCAACATTTTATGGTGGGCCTTTTATGTGCCCAATATTTGTTTTGTTTACAGAAACACAGTTAATTTGATATTTTTTATATTCAGCATATAATTTAAAGCCTGTTCACTAAAGATTTTTATATTTAAATCCCCTTTTCAAATAAAAGGAGGGGGAGGGAAGTTTGCATTTCTTTGCTGTATTATTAGAGTCTTTGTAAGTGGGCCCAAAAGCAATGCCACCAAACGTCCTTGAGAATGCACCTACCTGCTGCTCATTAAAGTAAGTGCTTCAATCTCTTGACACATTACCTTTCCCTGAAGCCTTCAGCTTCTCTGTTATCTCAGAAAGTTCTTTTTCAGCTGCGTTTAACTTTGCAACCTAGAAAGAGCCACACAATTAAAAAACATTTTAGTTTTTAAAGGAAGTTTTTTAAAACCAATATTCTATCACATTATCCTGTTTTCACACTGCTGCTCTCTGGCCAGAAAGTTACTGGTTTAAAGGACTGAGTCTTCTCCTAAACAATTTCTCATCACTTTCACATGCCAACCGTACCATTTTCCTCCTGAAGCATCAAGATGTGCACATGCCTGAGTGACCATGTTATATTAACGCTGGTTCTTCCTTCTCAAATTCCTTGCCTGAGTATGACTAACTTTTAAAATCAGATTCAATCCAGTTTGTATGCTCTTTAAAGTAGGGATCAGTTTATCTTGTTTTGGACGACTATGTGCACTTTTGACACACGGAAATTATTTTATGGTGGCCTGAAACTGCTTGGCTGTGTCTCTGTTCTTATACTCAATTCACTCATCTCTATGCCCTATCAAATGGAAGGAAAACTGTACTAGCCAACAAAATACAGTACAGTTCCCTAGAATAGAGTTGTGCACTATATTCTGGCAACTGATTAGATGGAGGTATTTTCACTGCTCTGATCAACGAAATTGCAAATTCCTCTTGCCTCCCCTACTTTATATGTGTGCATTTAGGGCTCATGACAGATGACTGACTGGCCTGAGGACTGAAGTCCTCTATCCACAGAGCTGGAACAGTAGAGACAACATTAGTGTAAATTTCTGCAGTATTCCTCAATTGTAAGCAGGAGCAGTTCTATAATGAAAGGGCTTGTTCTCCATGCCCAATCCTCCTCCTTTTTGCTGAGGCTGCTAGTAGAAGTTAAGTTATACCAAAAGTGACGGCAGTTTCTGTAATATACACACCTGTTCATTCAGTCAGAGTGGGACCACCAATGAAGTGCGCACAGCCTCCTCATGTGCTGGTAGCAGCTTTGTTGTGCTTCCAACCTGTGCTGGAGTCAAAAGACTCCTATGCATATGACAATACCAAGCTTCAACCCTCCTAGCCTTCAAGTCTCTTGTTCTATGGACACTGAGCCCTCCTCATTCCACTCTAGGCTGATCAATTGATATTTAAAGGCCTGAGATGGTATCCGAGCACTGTCTAATACAGAGCAATTTATAATCAGTTAGCTCTTTCTTCTCAGCAACAGTGTATGCAAGACTGATTATAGTCTAAAGTCAATGTCCTATCTGGCTGTTAACCTGAGGTTGTTCTTACCAGCGAGTCAAAAGTCTCCGGCTTCTCTTCTATTTTCCCAGCTTTTTTCATTCTGTTCAGTCGTTTCTTTTCAACAGATCCAGTTCGATCAAGGAAGGTGTCATCTTCACTGTCATAAAAGTCCTCCTCTTCCCAGTTCTTTGCTTTTCTCTTCCGGGATACTGAGAAGGTGAGGGAGAAACACGAAGAAGCAAAAAGAATTAAAGCTCTTGAAAATGAGAACAGTTGGAAGCTAGTCATCTACGTCACTATCTAGCCTACCTAGTCTAGTTAGTACCACATAGTTGACCAAGCACATACAGCGGAGAATGCAAGCTTGTTTAAATTAGTCCGAGGCATATGCAGCAGGCTTAAACTTTCTTGGCAACTAGCAGGCCTCACTAGAGAACATCTTTTCAATAGCTACCAAAAAAAACTGATGGGTTACCAACCTGCTTCTTGCCGCAGCACACCTCTAGCATCCAGTATCCGGCATGCTTCCAATGCGCACTGAATCATTGCTTCCTTTTTCTTCCCTGAATGAATAGCCTCTGCCACCAACTGTTTCCCTGATGCATCATCCACAGGCAATCTGTTCAATTCAAAGTTGTAGACCAGCTGTGAGACATTACTAGGCTAATCTATTCATCACTCTTTTCCATCCCACCCCATACTCCTTTTCAGTAAATATTTGCATATTTCATTTTTTTACAAGACCAATCAAAGCAATTAGTTTCCACAAAACATACAGCCTGAGGAACAGGCCTAGCCTGAGGAATGGGACTTCCTACATCTAATCCCAGACTATAGCAAAACGGCACTGACAAGCTAAAGGAAGTAATTTAGACCCCGAAGTAGTTTTAAGCACTTGTATCTTGCAAATGCTGTTAATTTCTAGAATTGATACATTATAACATATTGGAGCAGAGATTCACAAAATGGTATAAGCCATGACAAGCTATTCCATCTGGTCATAAGATATCAGACCTAAATGTCATGCAGTTCTGATTACTAACTTGCTTTCCCCTCCACAACCCCAATATGATGTTAGTGACCTTTCTGAAGAACCTTTGAAGCTAGAAACCAAAGTTTTATGCCATCTAAAAGGCTAGAATCAAATTTCAAATAGTATAAAGCATCAATTTTTATCTCCACATGTTTGTGAGCTACTCTTAAGCTAAATTCTGCCTCACATAATATTTCAAATTGTTGTTTTCTCAAAGTAGGGACAACTGAAAAAGAGGTCTCAACTTGATATCCCTGAAGAATGGAAAATAGCAAAGCAAGAAAGACTGGAGGAAATACTAAACTAGGTAATGATCCAACCATCATCCTTCTAATTCCAATGTTTTAACCTAATCTCATTTTAGTCTAGTTGCAGATGTAGTAATCAAAAAAATGAATCTCTGCTTCTGCTCATGAAATGGAAAGGAAAGCCTATGCATTGACCTTCTGAAATTATAGTATACATACTTAACCTTGCAGAGCCAGGTATTGTGTCCATGGTCATCGTATTCATACTCTAGTTCTTCTCCTGCACAAGAAATAAAGAAAAAAGTTCATGTATCTGCCCAAGTTGTAATACTCAGCAACCACTACTTGTAGTAGGGGAAGATAGCAAAGATAAGCAAAAGAAGGAAAATAACCCCTTTTCTGCTGGATAGTCCTGTGCTTATACATCAATAGATTGGATTTGCTCCAAGCCACCACATCATCCTAGGCATCTGGTTATTTTCTGTGACATTAAGTTCTTTTCCGAGTCATGGCTTTCCAAAACAGTCCCTTACCATCCTAAGAGTGACCTGTATTCTTGGTTCATCTTTTGTGACCTTGCATTTATTTGTATTAAAAGATATGCTGTAAAGGTGAGCTGATCTTACAGTAAAATCCAGATCAGTCATTCTTTAACACTCTGCCAATATTTGAAATCATCTGCAAACTTTATTAGCAATGATTTTAAATGTATGCCAACTTGTCATTGCCTTCTGCTTCTGTATAATACTTTTTCATAAAACTTTATATCACAACAACCATCCCCTTACCAGACGGGGCTGAACTGTGATGTCTGTGGATCAAGTATTATTTCTGAGAGTTGGTTATGGAAGGGGTGTCGCTCAAGAGTGATGCAAGGTTCTTACACAATTCCCAGTCTGACAGCTAGGAACAAAGTTTGAACTCTGAAGGCCATGGGTGCAGAGACAAGAGTTTCTATAAGAATGGCCATACTGGGTCTGAGTAAAGGTCCATCTAGCCCAGTAGCTTGTACTCCAACAGTGTCCAATGCCAGGTGCTTCAGAAGAATTGAACAGAACTGGCGATCATCAAGTGATACATCACCTGTCACTCATCCTTAGCTTCCAGCAAACATAAGCTAGGGACACTATCCCTGTCCATCCTGGCTAATAGCCACTGACAGACCTATCCCCCATGAAGTTACCTAATTCCTGCAGGAACCTTATTATAGTCTTCACAACATCCCCTGGCAAAGAGTTCCACAGGTTTATTGTGCAGTGTGTGAAGAAGTACTTTCTTTTTTTTGTTATTTTAAATCTGCTATTAATTTCATCAGGTGACCCCTAGTTCTTGTGTTATTTACTCCTCCTCAGAACGCTTTCTTATTCACTTTCTCCATACCAATCATGATTTTATAGACCTCTATCATACCCTCCCCCCCTTAGTCATCTCTTTTCCAAGATGAAAAGAACCAGTATTAATGATCTCTCCTCATATGGGTACTGTACCCTAGAACAGAAAACTTCAGTTCTTACATCCCAAATACAAAGCAGTATGTGACAAGTACGGCATCACTGCGTACATCACTATGGGGAGACACTCAGCTGACAAAGGACAGACACAATACACATACCTTCCCTGTCAAAGAAACCCTGCAGTGCCTTCCTAGGGTCCTTCAAATAAAAGGCTTCTTGCTCCTCTTGAAACTCGATGGCAATAGGATTTTCTTCAACCTCATCTTCCTCTGCATCTTCCCCTGGAGGAAAGCACATACAGAAGTGCAGATGAGTAAGGGAAGGAGGTTGAGAAGAGATGAAGTAAAATTCAGCCTTCATTAGCATGTAAGATATGAGCCATAATTCAGAAAAAAAAACCATATAACAAGTTTGGCTTAAACTTTTACATTTTTTGATACACTAGTCTCACAAATTTACCAGCCTTTTGCAAGCAAGATCAAGTATATAATAGTAGTTTAATCATTTAAATGATATAAATATTGGAACTTCAGCTATTTAAAATTATGGTCCACTTTGTCAACTTTTATATGCTGACTTGAAAGGTTTGGTTTTCTCGAGAATTAAAAAACATAATTAGAAAACCCAACCCTACTGTCAAACACACAGGCACAAAACTCAATTAGAGCTAAGTCCTCCATGTAGGGGTTTCAAATCATCACACTACATTTGTTGCAATAATATCCACAGCATAGTAGTAGCAAAGGGCAAAGTGTAAACTTCAATTCTTAGGGGTTTTTTTTGAGTCAAGCCCTTAATGTTGTGGGCGTTTGGGTTTTTTTTGGTGTAAATCTCCCTGTCACTTCCACACACCAACTTAAATCATTTTCATATCAAAAGTAAGCATGTCTTTAAAAAAACCTGTTTCATAATACACCACACAGATGGATAGCAATACTTTTTCATCGATCCAGTTTTTTCAGAGACAACATTAGTTCTTATTTTAGCAACTTCATTCATATCTCTTACCCATTCCCCATGAGCAACTCATATCGTTACTCTGAGTGCTCTCGTTCCGTTTCTCTTCCTTTTCTTCTTTTTCATCTTCATCCGAGTCCTCGCCTAACATTGTCTTCTCTAACTTTGCCTGCTGTTGCTTGCGCAGCGCCTTCAGCTCAGTCACAGTTAGTTCAGATTCAGACTCCTGATCCTCCTCAGGTCCCTGCAGCACAAGACACAGACAATACCTTTAGAGTGTATCTGGAATAGATACCATTTTGTAACATAAAAGCAAATTATTATATGGTACTGTCAATCTCTTTATAGTTTTCTTATAAAAAGTTCACTTTACCTATGGTATTCCACATCCCTAAATCCCTTGCTCCCAGACACAGTAGTTTTTACTTCCTGTCTAGAGAAGACTAGCATTACAGATGCAACACTCAATCCCAGATGTGGGCGCATTTTAATGGTAGCCAGATGACCCCTATATAACTTGTAATTCACAAGAGTGTGGTTAAATAAGCATAATTAATGTTTAGGAAGTGCTCTAAGGGCCTCAAAAGAGCCTGTGTAATCACTACTTCTAATACAATTTTTCCTGGACTGTTAAGCATTAGTACTTTAGCTTGTATAAATCTGAAGCTGTATTGCTAAACTAGAATTCAAAACGATAGTGATTGCTTTTTCATTTTACACACACAGAACAACCCCAACAAAAAATGATGTTTTCTCTTAAATTTAATGCTTTAATTTGGACTACTTTCATAAACTTTGCATTTGCCAAAGCAGCATATGCAAATGTTTCTGCAAAAATGCAACTTTCCAAGATATACATCCAACTCTTTCACTGCAACTCTTGCTGCAAAAACTAAATATAATAAAAATAAGAGTGGTACTCGTCATGCAATCTACACTATGAGATCATATAGATTCCTTGTCACTTTGGAAAAAACAAATACTAAACCAACAGCATTTTCCATCTAGTTCAGTGGTTCTCAATAGGGATGTAAAATTTCAATTAATTGACTAATTGAAAAGTTGATGCAATTTGCATCAGCAGCTTCAGGGCTGTTGCTACACTTCAAAGGTGAAAGTAGTGTGGGGAGCACTGGGCCAGCATGTCCTCCCCTGGCCCAACTCAATCAGTCACCCACTGGCCCCGTGCTTTAAAAAGCAGAGGTGAAGCATCTGGGACTGGCACGGGGTGGGAATCAGCTAATTCACAGCTCACGCCTGGTCTCCACTACAGCACTGGCTCCTGTTTCCCCCAATTTGCTGCCTCTAGTAGAGGCAGCAAGGGGAGAGGGAAGCGATTAGTCGAGGGATACCCAGGTCAGAATACCTAGCCATACCCGGCTCGCAGAGAGAGATAGAGCGAGCGGCTCCATGCGCTACATCTCTCTCTTCGCCCCCTCACAGCCGCTGGAGCCACTTGATCGGTCTCTCTCCACGAGCCGGGTCTGGAGGAGAAGGCTGGAGAAGCAGTGAGGCTGGAGCAGCAGCACAGGCTCCCTGCTGCATGAAAGAGGAGAGGGGACTAATCTCAAGCCGTAGACCACCTATAAGGCCTGCACATTGTGAACCTCTAATCTAGTTGGAAGCACTGTTTTGTAGCAGTAACATGTACATCCTACTTCAGAAAGTAAATATCAACAAAGCCAATTACAGATCATAGTTAGAGGTGGTGAAATTCCTTCCCCTTCCCCATAAGTCATTAACTAATTTTCTTAAGTTGCTGAATAAGTAAGCAAAGTAACATGGAATAAGGACACTTCCTCAAAAGACTACTGTCAGTTTGAAAGCAGGTCAATTTTTGCAACTTTATCATAGCTTTTACAAGGTGCATTTCTTGTCTTCAGGTCACAAAGCAAAGCCTGAAAATGAGACCCAAGTGCACCTTAAAAGTCAAAAGCCAGAAAACTAATACTCAAATAATTTTGCAAAGTTCATGTATGCGAATGGCTTCACTTATGATTTCTGGACAACTGGATTTGACAAGCTGTAACTGCGAAGAGAGTCAGTACACTTAGGACAGTACCTAGAACACAAGGACCACATGAATAATTACATGCTGCAGTGACAGGCAGGCGACACCTATGTTTGTCAGATGGCATGTAGCTACAAGGGTGGCAATAGCTAATAGTAGCAGCACAAACTTGAAAGGCATGGCTTGAGTGAGCAGAGCCCTGAAAGTAACATACAGACATTCAGGCACAGAGGGCACTTTACTTCCTAAGCACTGCCTACACAGCTGTTTATACCTATGCAAGGTCAGCATGCAGAGTCTGTTTTCTACACATCAATTCAAGTGCAGCCCCACATTCAGCGGTATTTTCAGGTCCTGCTCCCAAACAGTTTTGGGGGTATACAGTCCACCATTGGGGCTCAGAGACGGGCAGTCCCCAGCTGAATGTTCTGCACCCCTGGTTTGAAGTGCTTCCCATCACATAAAAGGTTTACAATCTGTACTCTGCACATCACCGCAAGTGCAGCACCATGTTTACAGTCACATTTCCCCACTTCGAGACATGCTCCCCCATCTGCAGGCAGGGCAGACCCCCAGGCTCCCTCACCGCTATACCCCCGGCTTTACAGTGGTTTCCACTCTATACGAGGTTTGCAGTTTTGGCCATTGC